CAAATTTATTCATATTTACTTTATGAGTTTTAAATCGACTATGAATACATACTCGAATAACATTTATACACATTAAATAAACAATAACAGTAAACTTACATTCTTACCCCTTATTAGTACATTTGGGAGTTCATAGGGATACCTCGTATACGTGGACCCAATACCTAATTTATCAATTAATCGGCCGTCCTCATATCTTGTTGAGTAATAGGCACCAAACACACCACAACTTCAATACTTCTTCCGGTATGAGGGTGATCTATACCTCTTAACCCCTTCCGGTATGTAGCTTATCAATCTCGTTCGATTAAGATAATGTCTACAGTTGGGTTTTCATATGCACTAAGTCTGTACATCCTTTTTCAGGATACCCAATGAGCTTTTCATATATGTATCTACATTATCAACTAATCACAATTACATACTGATATTTCATATTTACAAATCAACAGTAAATCATGAAATTAGACAGTACGCAATTCAATCAATAGATATTGACAAAATGAGTAGATAAACCAATAACGATAAAATAATTAAAATTAATAAATTATAGAACATGATTCAACAGTAAATCTTTTTGACAATATAGAAGAAAATAAACAATAAGCCTATGACAATTATACACTAACTGATTGCAGCTCCACTAGTGACCTGTAATTAATTTTATAGATTTTTAATTTTTATAAAACACACCATTATTAGTTATTAGACTTTAATTTACCATAACAGGGGAAAAAAGTAAGGAATTTTTATCCCAAATCGGTGTTCGAAATACTATTTTTTTCATTGTGCATTATGTCGGCTCTCGGATTTCCTGAGTTTTTCTTATGAAAATCAAAACACGTGTCACGTATCCCAAAATACTCTAAAAAGGTTAAAATAAGTATTTTTAAACTTTTTCGACCGGTTTAGGATTTTGGCACGGCGGCGCTGCAGTGCTCTGGCGCCGACTCCACTGTCTATGGTGGTGTTTCCTCTCGGCATGATTGTTTTCGATTGATTTTAGCCAGTTTTGCATGGAAACCTGTTAAAAACAGGGTTAGGGAGCCTCTGTCGACCGAAAAAAGAAAAAACTAGAACCCTATATGTAGGGATGTTCTCTGGTGCGGTAGCTCCGCCATTCTTTTCTTGCAGTTGAGGTTTTTCTTCGGGTAACTTGCACCAGAAAGAGACGAGAAACACATTGGTCAAAGAATAGAAGGAAACGATAGACAAAAAGGGGCTTATCGGAGGAGTTTTTGGGTTGCGGCCTGACTGAGTTCCACTCTCATTTTTCGGCTCACCCGTTGGCCTTTTGACTTCGATATAGGTGTAGGAGGTTTGAAATTCAATTCCGAGTGGAAGGGGGGGAAATTTTACCTATTCGACGTCGAGGTGGCTCCGATGCGGCGACGACGGTGTCCCTCCAATGATTGAGCTTTTCTCTGGCCGCCTTTCTTCTTCTGCTTCGGTCAGAGGTGTCGGCTAGGGTTTTAGGAGCTGATCGAAGAGAGGTTTAAATATCTCTCTTCTTTTGATTCTGACCGTCCATTTATATCGATGTAGAGTAAGGAGAGTTGTCCGATTCGAGATCCGTTTAGGCAAATCCGTGTGTAAATTTGGATCGTCCATTGTGATCCTCCAGAGTAAATCTCGCCAGTTCATTGCCCACCATTGGAACTTCACACAGCTGATTAGAGTCGTCCATTTGAATTTGGGCAGAATTGAGATCTCACTGTTTGTGCGAGCAGGAACGGATGTGGGCTGTTAGATCACCCAAGCACACGGATCGCCCGCGTTGCTCCCACGCGGAACTCGTGCCAGCATATCCGCTACGCGGCACATTCTGACTCATTGTTGCTACTGATGTGACCGTCCCACGTAGTCCGCATTTCCCCTTTTTGTTATTTGACCTCCTGTTTTTAAATTTTCTTTCAAACACATCTTTCTTTATTCACAGTTTCACTCTGGTTTCCAAAATAAATTTCAATTTCATCCAAAATCCAAATTTCTCCAAAAATTAACATAAAAAAGTAAAAATTAAATTATTTTAATTCATTATTCGTTAATATTAAATTATCTCGGTCCATATTTTCGGATCCGCGTGTTATATATATAAATCTAAAAATTAAAATTATGAAGCATGTGAGCGAATCGACAAATAATACATATGTTTTTCTTTTTGGTGTATTACTTTATCTATATTACTATTTTTTGTTAATTTCTACATAATTATCTTGTTACCCAAAATATTCAAAGATCAATAATCTTCTATTAAACATAAATTGAGATTTTTATTATTATTATGGGAAATTATTAATCATGTTACAAATTATTATCGTGTTACAATTAAGTTACAACTTTTTTTTTTTGAAAATAAATCGCTTGTATTAATTAATCATGCATCAAAATAGCAAAGTCCGGAGTTAACCCATCCCATATATGAAAATGTGGATAGAGATGATCAACTCTCGTTATCTTATGAGCCACTATATTACATTGCTGCTTGACCCAATTAATCTGAGACATCTTATTTTTAACATAATAACGCACCACAATCTGCAACAATAAAATCGAATTCTGAACGATCATCCTCCACCGGTATCAATGCTCTTTGGACCTTATGGACATCCATCTCCACAACTTTAATTTGTTATTTAAAAAATGTGAATATTTTTTTTAAAATTATAGATTTTTATTGTCTTATTTATATATATATTTTATAAAATTTAAAAATTAATGTTAATAAAATTAATAAAATAAATAATTAATTTATTTAAATCATAAAGATTATTGTAAATTTATAAACTAAATTGTATAAAAAGATTTAATTAAAAAATAATTAATAATTAAAAAATTGAATATATTTTTACAGAAAGTAGTTGGATAAGAATTTATCTCAAATACAAATTCTTTTAAACATTAAAAAAAAAAAAAATCTCACACAGCATGCAAAGTGGAGGTCATATCTAGTAAAAAAGCAAATATCCTCCTTAAAAACAGGAACCGGTGATCACCGGTAATAGTTTATCCCGTTCCCGGTAAATCCGGTCATCCAATGTAGTTTGACGGCCGTCAAGGCCCTCCGTCGGTCAACTTAC